ATTGTTCCAAAAAGGTAGTGGAGAAACTAGCTTACATATGATTTTTGGCCTGGGAATATGTGCAGTCAAGCATACACCTTGATAAAAGATTACTGCTAGTCACAAAGAACAAATATCTTAAGTTAATGATTTTAGTGCTTTTCTATCAATGGGAGGAAGCAAGAATCGGGGCTCATTAAAATTCTCCCTGACCTCTACATCTAACTGTCTAAGGGGCCTGTTTGTCCAAAGCACAGAGTGCCGCATCCTGTTTTTCATCCCAGATTCCCCTGACGGTGCCCTGTTGGTGACAGCAGTGGCTAAGGACCTAGGGCTGAGGGCTGAGCCAGGCTCTTTGTTCTTTGTTCTCAGCTCTAGTGCTGGCAATTTTCATCTGGAATTCTAAAAGTGTTTCAACTACATCCTATCATTGTATCCATCTCATTTATTAATATTTTCATTTAGCAAACATTTGCTAGAAGCCTGCTTTTAGCCAGACTTGGTATTAGTCCTTCCTGTGCTCAGGTCATAATCTGGCACTTGGCATGGAGAGAACCATGCATGTGAACTGTGATGTTTCCAAACTCTGTGGTATTGGACGTGATTTCTAAGCTAGAGGATGTTCTATTTCTATTATGACAGCCATTGCCATCCATTAGAGTATTCCTTTTACTTGTCTTTTTCCCTCTAGACTGACCACTTTTTCAGGTACAGAGTCCAGGGTAGTGAAACATATACGTATACTGAATAGCTTTCAGTTTTCTTTTATTAATGGACGAATGTGTTAAAAATGTTTCTAAGTTTAACATCCTTTGATTAGTATCGTTTTTGAATTCATTAGTATGAACAACTTTTTATTTTGCGATACGCGGGCCTCTCACTGTTGCGGCCTCTCCCGTTGCGGAGCACAGGCTCCAGACACACAGGCTCAGCGGCCATGGCTCGCGGGCCCAGCCGCTCTGCGGCATGTGGGATCTTCCCGGACCGGGGCACGAACCCGTGTCCCCTGCATCGGCAGGCGGACTCTCAACCACTGCGCCACCAGGGAAGCCCTGAACGGCTTTTTAATGTAGAAGTCACCCTGAATATCACAGGGATAGTTTAATTAAAAACTAATTCATATCCATACCTGAAAAAAAAGATAGTTTCTAGATTAAAATTTTATCATATTTTATCTTAGTTCTTGAAAATTTTTTAAATTTGTTTTCATCTCATCCCTCTACTCTCACACAAAGATTTTTTTAAGCTCGCCCCCAATAAACTGCTTCTGTTGTCATTAGCTTACTCTCTCTACCAGCTCCTCCCGCTGTACTTTTTTTTTTCTGAAGTAAGATTTATAATCTATCTGAGGTGAGAAATTTTAAAATTTAATATTTAAAACATCAGACTTGTAAGTTATGATAATAAAGAGATATTTTTTAAAAAGCATCACTACAAATCCAATATAAATACTAGAAGAATTTAAATAAACTGAATGCTAATTAAAAATGTTCAACTTCTCTAAGGGACAGCAGGAATTCTCCTATTAATACATATTAGCTGAAATGTATGTCAGTATCTACTTATAAGATACGATGTTAGAAACATTTTTAGTGAATCATAAAACTGAAGTTGTGTTAAGTTTTAAATAAAAATCAGTATATAGTGTTTTACATTAATTTTGCTAAGCAAAATACTTGTCGTCTGTTCATTTGCTTAAGATAGCAAATCCTGTAAACCATTAGATTATTTTATCAGTTTATGCATCCGATGTTTTATGTTTAGTGCAGAGTTTGGAAGACTAGAAATACTCCACTAAGCAAGCAAATTGTAATTACGTCTTCATAGTTACCATGCAACTTTATTGCCATGCATTGTTATAATTATATTTTAAATATTCCCCATTTACATGAGAGACCATAATGTCTCCTAGCACATTACAAACTGTGGCTTATAACTGCATCTCACTTCCACAAAGGCCTTTTCTTCATTTAGCCTCTATTTCAACTACTGTTAAAAGAGACTAAACAAAATCAATTGGCATCATAATACTGCAATAAGGAAATTGTAGACAATATAATATTTCTGTGCTACTGAAATCGTCTCATTATTCAGAGGATTCATGTTTAACATCTAAGGTATATTCCTCCTTCCTTAAGGATTCAGTCATAATCACATCAGTGCTTCTCAAACTTCAATGCGTACAGGAATCACCTTGGGATCTGCTGCAAATACAGATTTTAATTCAGTATATCTGGGAAAGGGCCCTCGACTCTGCATTTCTAACAGGCTCCCATGTGCTGATACCACTGCTGCTGGTCCTTGGGCCACACTGAATAGCAACACTGTCAAGTATTATGTATATCTATGTGCAAAATGCTGTTAACAATTTTCACACACACACACAAACTTCACCCAGAACTCTGCTATAATCACTTTCCACCTTCAAGCCTGGAAATTACTTATTATTGTTAGAAGACTTAACAGAAACTGTTACCAAAATCAACTTCCGCTGTTCACCACTCAGAAGCCAATACTCAAGAGACAAGTGTTGATTGAAAAGAAAAGATTGCTTTATTCAGGAGACCAGTAACCTGGGGAGAAGGTAGACTCGTGTCCAAGAACCAACTCCCAAGTTTCTGCTCAACCATGAAAGTTTTTAAAGGAAGAATCATTTGGGGAGGGGGTCAGAGTCTTTGTTATCTTCCGCTGTGTATAGACCTTCTTCTGATTGGTTGGTGGTGAGGTAGCAAGGGTGGTATCCAGGAATTTTGTGCTTGACCTGAAGTTTTCATCCTGGGGCCTTAGTTCCTGCAGAAGAACTCAGAGCTATATTGTTCTGTATATTCCTTAAGGAGGAACCAGGACCCTGCCCCAGGGCGGCTGCACTAGTGGTTCTTGCCTGCTCCTCCTTTGTTTCTGCATTCTCTCCTCTCCCTGATTAGCAACTCTTTGAATCTACCCTTTGGAACTCAGGGAAGGTAAAGGAGGCTGAATGAATCCTATTTCCTACAAAGAAGAAATGGGGGACACGGAAAGGATTTGTACCCAGGAGGGCCCCACAGGGTCCTTCTTGGTTTCAAAACATCATTGAACCTGTGAAAAAAATCTGCCAAGTAAGCATTAGGGAATTTCACTCTGAAGTGACATGGTGTAGTAAGAGCTTCCAGAAGAATGTGACATTTGAGCTACATTCTGAAGGTTGATTAGTAGTTTGCCAGATGGAGGGTATGGGTCCAGGGGGCGGGGTAGGAGGGAGATGCAAAAGGAAATTTCAGGCAGGAGGAAAGGCATTTAGAGGTGAGGGGACTGTAAACCACTGGGGGAGAGGAGGAGACTGATGAAAGGTAAGATTAAGGGCACAAATTCTTATCTTCTAATTGAGGAGTTGAGATTTTATCCTGCAGGTGTTTAGAAATTACATGAGGACTAGAAGATTATATAAATCTAACTAATTTACTAATGTTTTCTCTTCCACTCTGAATAAAATAGTCCCTTGGGAAACTAACAATCAGAATGACACGCCTGCAATTCAAGGGTAATATTACGGATATTCCATCTTATTCTAATGACACTTTTGAACATTTGTTTCTGGGGTTTTATTTTTTTAATTCATTTAGCGAAACATTGTGGCCCTATCTTCTTTACCATCATAATCATCTTCAAATTAAGAAAGTAACAGGAGATGTTTCAACTTAGCAATGCCAATAAATACAAATAGGTCATTGTCAACATCCATAGCCTGACCGTTTATGAAGATCCTTGAATATCAGGGTGGCTAATATTTGAAGCCTCTAAGACACTGTAAAACACAATTTGCAAAGATATCTCAGTTGAAAGCTAAGAAAGTCTCACCCCATGACTTTTTAAATGTCCGCTAGTGTTAAAAACAATTTTTTGAAAGTTCTCTTTTCAGTAATGGCAAACTTCAAGATAGGCTTAAAATCCAGAATCTCCTAGTCTATCTATATTTGATCCTTGGCAAGCTAGACTATTGTTATCTGGTAATATTTGTTTCAGGGATGCTTCTGCACAATTTTTTATGCTAGTGGGTAAAAGAAATCTTAAGGTTAATCGTTCATTCAGTCTTTTCTTTTCCTGCCAGTACTGTTCCCCAATTCTATAGCTTCCAAGGTTTCACCAAAAAAAGACTTTTAAATGTATATATACACACATAAACATATGTATAGTAGGAGAGGAAAAATAATTTTCTCTCTACTCTTCTAGGTCTTGACTGAGACACCCCCTGTAATAAATGACAGATTAACAAGAGAAAAACAAACAGGCGTTTAATAGCATGTATACTTCCTATATACATGACAGGCACTCAGAAAAACTGAGCCCCTCAGTCAGCAGTCATTCATGGCAAAAGACAAGGATACAGGGAAGGGTGAAGAATTAGGACCACATGTGGGAGATCATGAATTGGGCAGCATCCCAGCCACCAGAGAGAATGGAGCTACCAGGAGCTGTATAAAATAAAAGACTTTTATACGCAGAAAAGAGTGGGACAAGAAAGGCATACTAGCAAAAAGTGGATTGGTTGTGACAAGGTCCCTTTCCTTTAGGGGATGCAGGGGTCTGTCAGGCAGGTTACCTCTCTAGTGCTGACCAAGGGATTCCTGATGGACTGGTTTCAGATTCCATTTCTCAGAGAGGCTGAAACTATAAGTCTCTGTTTGGTGACATGGGGCTTAGCATAAGTGACTTCATTTAGGGCTTGTTGTCTTGTTTTTAACACAAACATAATCGGAAGGGGTTGATTCTTGTCTCTTTACTTCTAAGGCAAGTTCACATTCTGCTTCAACTGATTATTTTTTCAACAATATTTGTTATATTCTTTTATGGTCTGCCAGTACTTTTTTGAAGCCCAGTTAGTTAGAACAGCCGCCAACAGAGTTGAAACTAAAAGGGGGCCAAATGTCTCTCCAGAAGCAAGAGGACTTCAAAAGATATGCATTACAAAGCACTACTGTGACTCACATAATCACTTATTTTTAAAGGGGATTTGCTAATGTAAAATTGGTTTCTTATCTTCCCAGCCCCTAGTGAGCCTTTACTGTGCAAATTCGCTGATGGAGGACAAAAGAAGCGACAGAATCAAAGTAAATACACCCAGAATGGAAGGCCTTGGCCCAGGGAAGGAGAGGTGAGTCCTGACTGACCTGTGCTCAGAAATGTGGCCGCAGACATCCCTCAGGAGGGTGACAAGACAGACACACGGGGCTGTGAGAGAACCAGGTCCTGTAGAAAACCAGATGGCAAATGAGCAGGCCTATATTGATTTAATCAGAATAAAATTAGTTCAGGAGGAGTATAGGACTTCCAAATTGACCTCAGTTCTGCACTACAGTAAGTCTTCTGTCTTTAACCAAACTTGAATCCTATAATACTCACTGAAAGGCTTAGCCACAAAGAATTGATCCATAATTGTGTCATAGTTATAAAATGAGGGCATGATTACTTAAGAAAATATTTTCAGTGAAAACAATAGTGAGAGTTAAATGTTTGTGTTTGAAAAAAACAAACAAAAATTTCGATTTATTTCATTCTACTGTTGAGATGTTCCACTTGCACATATATGTGTAGTTACGAAATGCCCATGTGCTCATAAACATGTTGATATGTGTCTTATATATGTATCTATCAATATAAAATATGACATTTTCTGTTGGTCAAGAAGAAAGAAAAGCAGACACACACAAGGTTTTGCTTTTCCCAACAAGGAGAAAAGCATTTAACAGTTAATTATCCCTTTACTCTCCTAACACAAAACAGTAGAAAAGCAAGCTTATGGCTCCAGTGCCGCTTGGGAATGGATTCCTGTTGGTTATTTTTGTTGTGAGAAGACAAGGAAAAGGTGTCTGGGCTTCCAAGAGGTCTTTTTATTCTTTGTGAAATAGAATGGAGTTGTTTGAATGCCTTGAATAAATGCCATTTTGTACCAAGACCATCATTTCAACAGAAGAGCTTTATTTAGTATTTCTATTCAAAGCATCTACTTCATCCATTTATCATTTAAGAGGCATCCTACTTGATGCAGCATTTTATACTTTCAACACTGAGATTACAGTTGTAAGGAAAGAAAAGAGGGTGGGATTTTTTACTCAGCAAAACCTTTAGCCATTTTTCAGTTTCTAAGACTGTAGTCTGTTTTGAGTATTTCCATGCAGATCTCAAAACCCCTTGTAAAGTGGATAGCTATGTTTGAGTACTGTAGAATCTATAACTCATTACCTTAAGGAAAAAGGGAATCACCACTGAACACTTGAAGCTAATTAAAAAAAAAAAAACCAAGAGTTTCAATTTTAGAAAAGTAGTCAGAACAGAAGAGGGCAGGGTGTGACCATGTGTTTTTAGTGGGCAGTTTGTGATCAGCAGGCAGCCCACTGCCCCCAGAAGAAAGGTGATTTGTGATAGCACTCATTTTCACAATGGTCCCATGCCAGTCATCCGTGGTCTAGAAAGACTCATTTGATCTTTCAAAATTTACTTGAGTCAAATGCCCGCTGATTAGAGATTTCTGGATCACAGACCATAACCCCAAAGCCTCAATATTTAACTAGGTAACTTAGCAATGATGACTGAAATTTCAGTTCCTATATTATTACATTCACTGAATAGATACCAATTGCAGCAAGACACCTCACTTGAGTCTACATTTCTTAGAAACCAAACCAATAAACATAAAAGAAATGTAAACTTAGAGCGGCCACCCTGCTACCGTATACAGAATCCAGGGCTCTGGGTTTAGAGCATGATAAAGACCACGTGTACTATTGCCATGGAAGCATTGTGGAGTCAAATTTAGGACCCAGGCACCTTGTAATTTAAATGTAGGTTTTAAAGTATATTCTTAATCTTTGTTTTCAAAAGTTGCTTTTTAAGAGCTGTAGGTTTTCTTGTTGAATATGAAGATCAAGGGACCATCATAAATTTATCTGTGACCAATAAAAACATATTCCAAGTATGCAGATACATTTCAGAGGAAAGAAATCAGGAAAATAAATGGCATGAACTGAAAATACACTTATCAGATATCTTGGTTTTGAGATGAGCATGTTAATTTTTACTCTGTGATTATGTGATTATGGTCTTAGAAGCAGACACACCAAGAATATTGGAAAACTTTGCCCATTATTACATATGTTTCTTCTTCTATTTCCCCTTGCATAGTACTTGCTAGACTAAATAAAAGTATGTATATTAGTATGGTGTATAAGGTATGACATCATACAAATTAATCCTGTGTAAGCAATATTTAATCATTTCTTATAAACCAGTCAGTTCTAGTTACTGTATTTCATTGTTTCTAAGACACACATTTTTGTTGCTGTTGTTTTTCCACATTTTGACACTGTTGAAATTGACTCTCGTCTTATAATCAATGGCAAGACAGTTTGTATTTTCTCCTGTTAAGTCACCTGGGGGTACTATCTACATTCTCTGCTTTAGGTCTTTGACCGCATAGATCTTATCAATTGAAACTCTAACCAAAGCAAGGACTGTGGGTCAGATTCTTAAAGAGAACTTTTTGCTTCCTTCCCTCACCCAGATTGAGACATGCATCTTCCCTTGAAGTCCATTTCTGGTGGGTGGTTTGGTGTTTTATTTACCTTGTAGCCCTTTGGCATTCCAGCTTTATAAGGAGATCATTTGGGCTGTTTGTTTTTGCTTATTTGTTTTGTTATATAAAATAATGGTAAACCTTTCAATCATCGTTGCCTTAGATAAAATAAAAAATGATAATTTAGATTCTGCTGCTTCACAACCTGAGATCATAGCCCAGAATGAGGCTAATGTTTACTTGTCCTCTCTCTTGAGTCAGGTGAAAAATGATAGTGTGAAAAAGATTTCTGAGACAATGCTTCAGATACAAAACTAGTGGCTTGCAAGCAACTTTGAAGTATCTTAAACATGAAAATTGATAGGCTAATTAAAATTTTAATTTATTATGTGAAGCTGTTTTATTCTGGGTGGCATTTTGATAACAGTTCTTCTAGCATAGTTTGGTGAAATGCTGTTACTGAACACGTTATACACATAAATTAGTGTAAATTAGCCAGGTTTTGAAATATAAGTATATGCTGGCAGACATATTTTTGCATAAGTGAAGAATACTGGAATATTTTTAAGTTATTAACTAATCTCTCAAGTGACACCAAAAGCTATGAGCAGAAGGGCCAGGGATTGGGGCTGTGAGCCCTCTCTTTCCAAGGACTCTATAACAGTCTTACCATTTTGTTTCTTAATGCAGCCTTCCTCAAATTCTTTGGTCTTTGTTTTCCTTTATGCTCTTAAAAATTATTAGTTATTCATTAAAAAAAATAAACCCATCACCTGTTAACAAAAATAGAACTCTTTTATGGAAAGTACTATATTTTTCAAAGCAAAGACTTTTTTTTGAAGAAAGGCACTGTTTTACATTTTTGCCCATCACTTTAATGTCTGGCTGAGTAGAAGATGACTAGACTTGCATTCAGGCAGACCTCGTTTTACTGCATTTCCCTTTTCTGCACTTGACAGATGTTGTGTCTTTTACAAATTGACGTTTGTGGCAACCCTGCATTGAGCAAGTCTATTGGTGCCATTTTTCTAGCAGCACATTTTCATAATTCTTGCACTATTTCAAAATTTTTCATTATTATTATATTTGTTATAGTGATCTGTGATCAGTGATCTTTGATGTGATTATTGTGATTGTTTTGGGACATCGTGAACTGTGTCCATATAGGATGATGTGTGTGTTCTGACTGCTCCACTCTCTGGCCATTCCCCCATCTCTCTCCCTCTTCTTGGGCCTCCCTGTTTTCTGAGGCAATGCTGAAATTAGGCTAATTAATGGTCTCTAAGTGTTCAAGTGAAAGGAAGAGTCCCACATCCCTCACTTTAAATCAAAAGCTAGAAATAATTAAGCTTAGTGAGGAAGGTATATCAAAAGCCCAGATAGGCTGAAAGTTGGCCAAGTAGTCACTACAAAGGAAAAGTTCTGGAAGGAAATTAAAAGCACTACTCCAGTGAACACATGAATGATAAAAAAGCAGAATAGCCTTATTGCTGATACAGAGACAGTTTTAGTTGTCTGGATAGAAGACCAAACCAGCCACAACATTCCCTTAGGCCAAAGCCTGATCCATAGCCAGGCCCTAACCCTCTTCAATTCTAGGAACGATGAAAGAGGTAAGAAAGCTGCAGAAGAAGAGTCTGAAGCTAGCAGAGGTTTAAGGAGGTTTAAGGAAAGACTCCATCTCAGTAACATCAAAGTGCAAAGTGAAGCAGCAAGTGCTGATGTAGAAGTTGCAGCAAGTTCTCCAGAAGGTCTAGATAAGATAATAAAAGTGGCTACACTAAATAACAGATTTTCAGTGTAGATGAAACAGCCTTCTTCGGGAGGAATATGCTATCTAGGACTTTCCCAGCTGGAGGGGAGAAGTCAGTGCCCAGCTTCAAAGTTTCAAAGGACACGGTGACTTCTGTTAGGGGCTAATGCAGCTGGTGACATGAAGTTGAAGCCAAAGTATCCAAGACTGGATACTACAGACATGATGGAAACATATAGACAGACTCCCTACCCCCTTGGAACCTAAAGTGGCAAAGTAGGAGATTAAAAGTAGAACTGAATACAATTTAGGTTGTAGAAATCAAATCACTGACTGTAACTGGCTTCGTACCTACACAACAGTTAAAGCCAAAGCCAAAATAACAGCAAAAATAATAACAAAAACAGCAGCCGCATGAATATCAGCTCACATTTGTCATGTTACTAACCATTAACTGTTCATTTGGTTGATTGGTTGTTTGTTTTTCAGGGTAGGTAGCTGATTTGTCTACATTTAAACCCCACCCCACCCCCAATTCTCCTGAAAGTTGGAAAGCTCTGCTTTGTCACCCATCCCGTAGAGGCATCCATGCTCACGGGTGCTGAGTGGCTCTGAGAGAATAAAGTTAAGAGAAGTAACTTGAGCTTTGAGTTGTTATTTAATAAATCTTGAGTCCTCTAATGTGCCCAACTGAGAATAATAATTCTTTCTGAACTTTAAGGAATCATGTGTGTCAACATCTGTCATATGCTCAAAATTGTTTGCTTTTGATTGTAATTTACCAGGCACTCTACTCGAGTGGCTAACGGGGTCAAACACTGGAGTTTAA